TATATAATTAATTATATGTACCGGTATAACGAATAAATAATCTGGAGTTATCTTTAAAAGGAAGGACGAAAAGTATTCCGAAAGCAGTTGTGCAGAATGAAATGCAGAATGAATGTTTATCGGAATGAAATGACTTAAAAACGTGTACCTATATACTCGCGGGCAGCTATATATTGTTTGCCATAGGCCCTATTGAGATTCATATATATTTACTCGCCCGCATTCCGCGATATATTCCTTCTGCAGAACCAATCGATTTTAGTGCGGGTAATACAATGACCTTTGAGCCAAGATATTGCTGTATGCCGCATTTACACGCACTCCTTATATACTCCCATAATCCATATAACGTATGTACGTAAAAAATAAGGTTCAATGAGCAAGATGTTATTTTCATGGTTGGCCCCCTTCGGGCCTCTTTTGCTATCATCGATATAAACACCTGCCGAGTCCCCACCGCGAAAGGTAAGAGCGGCTATGAGTGTGTTATATGTCAACATGTGTGTCAGTGTGTTTAGCCCAGCTATCTTGATCTTGTCGCATTAATACGACGTGAGTTTGGCAGAGAATGCCAGAACCTGACCCCATGAGTAGTGAAAATGGTGGTGACACGGCTGAATATGACGTAGTACTCGTAGTGAGTCGCAAATCTCTCGGAAATGGCCAGGAAAAAGAAGTTACGGTCATCGCATGAAACTGACCTGTTGCTTCCTAACCAGGGAGTCTATAATAGGCCTGTTCCTAACGCATCGGCTCGTGTGTCTGCAGCCCACGTCAAGTATGGAGCGTCTACCGAGGAGGTCAAGATTTTGGGTCGTGGGTACGCATATGTTCAAGTTATATGTAATAATATGTATAGTGCATAAATATAGCGGCGTAAATATATATACTTCGAGTCCAGATTGTTGAAATTGAGAGGATCAATAGCACATTGTAAAGTTGCACGTTGTGGGGTGCATTTCTGTTTAAATCGTATTTTAGATGTGAAATACATCTAGATGTTATGTATTAATAAATAAAGTATGTAATATGTATTGTTATTTTAATAGTGGAAGAAAAACAAGGAGACAAGACTACCTATATACCTCCAATGTGCTAGTAATAGTATAGTACAAGTTGAAGCATATATATCTAAGCTAAATTTTTCCGAATGCGCAGTTAAGTTTCCGATCAGCCGGTCCAATCCTACATGGCCGCAATGGATCCAGAGAGACATGATACAAGATTGCGTGGCACAGCTTTGCTGTTGATCCTAAGCGCTGCGCGCGGATGAGACACGCAGTTCCGTGGAATATGCGCACGCGACCGCGGGGATGTTCAAGTATGAAGCCCTGTCCGCAGTGGAGACGTGCGCCGTCTCCACACCGGTCAGCGGATGGTCTGTAGTTTTAGAAGATGACAATGATTATATATGGACGATATTCTAGGAATTGGAGATTATAAAACAGTAGCTCGAGAACTATAGCCCTCCGTGCCGCCGCAGGCGGCAGCACAGAGGGCTATAGTTCTCGAGCTAATAAAACAGTAACAAAAATCGCTCAGTCATGCTCCAGATTAGCTGAATCAAAAAGATTAGAATTTAATATGAACAAAACAAATACAATGGTTATAAAATTCACAAACAAAGAAAGGATAGAGAAGGAGATATTAATAGGCAACCAAGTAATCAAAAAATGCACCAAATATTCATATCTAGGGGATTTAATTAATGATATAGGAGGCTATAACGATATGATAAGAGTCCGAACTGAAAAAATGTAGGTTCATGATGAGGGAAATATTATCATATGCAGAATTAAATTGGGGGCTCCATTAGGAGTGTTCCCAACTTTGATATCATTAATGATTAATGATTAATGATTAATGATTGATAATCCTAATTAACCCTAACCCTAACCCTTATGCTAACCCTAACCTAAATGACATTAAACATTAACATTTAACATTGACATTAATATATGACCATATATATATATATAATTATATATGTTATTATGACCAGTAATGACATTAAATTAAGTTGGGAACACTCCTAATGGAGTGTCACCCTAGAATGGAGTTGGTGTGCTGGTCTGTTGAACTGAGGTAGAGAGGTATTAACATGTGGAGCTGGTATGGGATAGGGTTGCATGGTTGTACTGGGTCTATGGTGTCAGGATAGAGGTATGGTGTATGGGGTTGGTATGGAGGTAGTAATAGTATCAGGAGTCTATCAATCAGTATCAGGAATCTATTGATAGACTCCTGATAGTATATAGGAGGTTAAGATCGAGATAGCACTGGTTTCCTGTGTTTGAGTAAATATTGCACTAGTTTGTAGGTGTGTCAGCGTTGGGGTACGTACGTGACTATAGGATGGGAGAGAGTTCCAGGGCTGCCAACTCTCACGCATTCGGCGTGAGACTCGCGCAATTGAGGCTAATTAAATTAATTAATTAATTAATTAATTAATTAATTGAGGCTAATTTAATCTCACGCTCTCACGCCGGGTCTGCTAATTCTCACACATACAGAAACGAACAGATGAAGAACCGAAGTATACTCTAGCATTTCAATTCGCTGAACGGTTCTAGATCTCGTCCTTATTTGCCAATGAGAACAGTTTTATGTAAAGTAGTTTCGCCTAAGAAGCTGAAGGAGCAGCTAACAGGAACCTGATTGGCTAAAACCCCTGTCTATAATAAGCCCGCTCCTTCCGGTTCCGTTCCGCTATACAGTAGTCTATAGCCTAGCTATGTATGTGACTAGGCTATGTACGAAGTCGACAAGCTTACGCATGGAGCGCATACATACAAGCAGAATATTATAAACAACCTTATAAGCAGAATAAAAGACCGAACAGTAGAGGTCATATGAATACAATTTCAAGCAGGATCTAGTGATCCATCTAAAAGCAGAGCTACAGCGTATTGCATTACATACATACATGTGTATGTTTAAAAACTCACTTAAGTATGCACCAGAATGCACAATTTCAAGCTTAAAAATGCAAAAGCGCCATGGTGTGGGAGGGGTTGCCACCACCCCCACCCCACACCCCCACCCCCACCCCCTCGATCGCTCCGCTCCCTCGCAGAATCTCACTCTCAACTGTAACTGAATGTTGGCAGCCGTGGAGTCCGACCATTTCCAGCAGGATGATCGAGACGATAATTAGCATGTACATTTGACAAAAGGATTTTAAACTATCGTTAATTTGCTTTGTGAATTAACATTGGTGGGATTTTGGTTTCAGGGATGGTGATGATGCCAGCAAGGACCATGCGCAGATCTCTCTCCTTACGATGGTGGGTAGTTCTAGTTCGTCCTGCCTCACTAACTTCTCTTTTATATGGTCACTGTATTATAATGAACATTTATACTCATAGAGAGTGAGAGGGGGAATTGAGAGAGCGAGAGAGAGAGAGAGAGAGAGAGAGAGAGAGAGAGAGAGAGAG